CCYSTWGTCCTACCACTACATGCTGTTGTAAAARGTCMCTCTCCAGATTTCTTGTTGGCCTCTTTAGGTACTGGAAGGCTGAGATAAGGTCTCCCTGGAGCCTTTCCTTCTCCAGWCTGAACAACYCAAATTTTCTCACCCTCTCTTCATAGCAAAGGTGCTTTATCCCTCTCACCATCTTCACAGCCTTCTTTTGGACCTGCTTCAGCAGCCCCACATCCTTCTTCTGCCTCATTTCTTTGCCTGCTTCGTAGATGCCCTTCAGAACTCTTCTTCCTTCTGCTTGGGCAGTTGCTGGTGGTGAATGCTTCCCACTGGATTTGTCCCGGTGCCAATGGCCTTCCAAGATCACACATTTGGAGCTGGCTGGGTGTGCCCACAGAGTGCTGAAAATATTTAATTTTGGATGATTCTTTTTTTTTTTGCCCGTGCAGTCAGAAACACAAGACTTTTTTTCTGGGAGCAAAAGACGAGCATTGCAAAGCCTGTCAACATATCCATTACTGATTGACACTGAAATCACCCAAACCATRGGCACTGCAGTGAGGGGTCAGCAGTGCTGGAAATGTGGGCAGATCCCTGCACATCAGGGAGGTTGTGATGTGCAGAGTTTCTAGGAGCTGGTGTTGCAGATGTGCTGGTAGGTTCACAGAAAGGAGCTTAGTCCAGTTTCTCTTGGGCCCTTKTAACTGAGGGAAAATACACCTGCAAAGTTAAATCCTGAAAAGGACACCCTTTGCAGGGCTAGTGAAATCATCCTTTAGGTTTCTTCTTTCAAAGTTTTTTGGTTGCTAACATGCACATATATATGGATGTTTTGCTGAGTGGCAGGTTTCTAAATTTACTAATCCTCTGGCCCTCCTTTTGTGCTCTGTGCACCACCAGCCATCCCCTGGCACCCAAGCCAACACATTTTACCCTGGCCCACCTTTAAGGCAGGGTTGGCTTTACCTAAAGCAGATGGCAGTGTCATTCCAGCCCCAGCAGGACATCCCTGCTTCGCACTAAGGCATCATTCATGATAAGTAAACATCCTGCAAAAACTGTGGGACTGGTGTAAGCCAGCCTCCTGCAAGGCAGGCTGAGGTTTGTTTGCAGAGCCCTGTGCCTCAGGTTACTCTTGTAGTCCCTGCTTGACTCTAATTGGCAACATTAGTCTGCCAATTTCATGAGCATTAAATCCATGCACAAATTTATTAGAGAAAGGTGTAGAGRGAGTGGGAAGGAGGGAAATGGGAGAATTTTTTTTTCTTCTTCCTTTTCTTGCGGCTGCCTCGGTACTAATGTGAATACTAAACTGGGTTTATCAATGTAAGGATTCCCTGCTGGATTCTCCTGGAGCTTTTCAGAGATGTCTGTGCCATTAGGGCAAAGCTGGTACTCAGTATGCAAAATGGCTGTGAAAAGATCAAAGCAGCGCTGCTGCAATAACGTTATTGGGAATGGGGGAGCCATACAGCATGGAGGAATAAGCTTTCAAGTTTGATTAAAAATCCTTATTAGAGATGAACTAAGAGCTGTGAAGAATAAGGAGATGGAAATAATTAGGCAGGGTGAATAACCTTTGGAAACGAATACCAGGTGCTGAGTGAGGAGAAATTCAATTGTGGAAAGGGAAGTTTAGCTGAAGAGCACGTGCTGTCATTACACACAGCTCCGGGCTGATCTCTAGGAAACTCCAGCATGTTTTGCTCCATTTGCAACTGTCCTCACCTGTGTGTGTGCTGGAACTGATTCTGTAGAGCAGGTGGTGAAATACCCTGTGCTCAGGCAAAGCCAGAAGATGATGCTTATCTGTTCACAGAGCCTGCACATTTTTGTCTCTTAAGCAGGGATAGACCCCTGTGACCCTGTTACATCTCCTCTGAATTCATCTCACGAGCAGAAAGGCAGCCCTTCTGCAGCCCTGACTCAGTGTATCTCCGGGGCAGGATGGTGGGAACGTGTTGCCTTAGGTCAGGGGCAGGAAATCASCACTCTGCAAAGAAGAGGGACCGTGGCAGAGTGGCAGCAGTGGCACATGCACTGGATGTCACTGGACAAACCGAGCAGGGTAAAGAGGAGCTGTCTCTGCCTTTTGAGTTACTGCAGCACCTCAGCTCAGTTCAGCTCAGCTCAGTTCAGCCTTGCAGGAGGAATCGTGCATGAAGAGACTGCTATCGTGCCTGCTATCGTGCATGAAGAGACTCTGGGACTTGATGTACAGGCAGGAGAGGGAGCTGCTCCCTCCTCAGAGAGACACAGAACTGGTTTCTGATTGTAAGGRATCATTCAGGGGCTGTGTGACACTRCAGTGGGCTGGGGGAAGCACCTTCTCACCAGGGTGACCTGCAGCAGTGCTGGAGAAGGTCGTGTTCCATCCCATAGCTGAGGCAGYAYCTGCAKGGAGCTGARCCCCTYACTCACAYGTYARAATCCCACTTTAGCCCTTATACCAYACCGAACAARCCCACCTRAMCTCCCAAACACAGCCTTGGGRSTRAGCTTCCAAAAGCATTTTTAYTGCCTTGTCTAARCTGACACAACAGAAACAGCTCTCAGGTGTTTAAAACCCTTCACCCATCCTTGCCTTGCTCTCAAGGTGTCCAGCCTAACAGGTGGACCCGAAGCATAGAGCCATTCTCCTGGGTTTTTTTTTTTTCCCTGGAAATGCATCCTTTGGTTTGAATGTTTGTTTTTGCGGGGTTATTTGCTCTCGCCGCCTGCCCACGCTAAGGGCGTTCGCTCGCAGCAGCAGCTCAGCCGATGCCTTTCCTTCTCCCAGCGCCTGCAGGAGGGCAATGCAGGGACAGCGACAGCGACAGTGTTTTCCCAGCCTCAGTGCAAGAGGGACATCTGTTGGCTGCCGTGTTAGCGCGGCTGGGTGCGTTTTTGACGGGTTTCTTCGCGGTTCAGGCAGCTTGTGGACAGAAAGGAGATGTTTCACTGTTAGTGCTGTATGACATCAGGTACCGTGGATCACCCGAGACAAGGAGGGTTTTCAGCTAGAACAGGCGAGGAGAATCCTCATCTTCATGAAGTGATAAATGTAGCTGTTTGCATCTTCCTGCCAGAGCAGGCATAACTGTGGTGTGTGAGAAAAGCAACCTGCTGGGTCAGAATGAAGTGCAGCTCCCCTGCCTTTGAGCTGAGTACAGTGGAATGAAACTCAGTCCAATAACTGRTGTTTCTCACCTCTCTCTCCCCGAGGCTAGATTTCGTGCCACSGTCTATCCCTGCCCAGAGTCTGCCACCGAGCGCCGGGAAATGCTCGACGGAGTCAACACGAGGATCGAGGATTTAAACACAGTAAGTGGCAGTGGCTTCACTGGGGACCAAACCCTGCAGGTGCATTTATCCTTCTGGAAGCAGATGGCAGACCACACAGGTTATTTTCCCCACAATTACCTCATTATCTCCATCCTTGCTCACACAAGTGGCCACACAGTGCATGAAAGCCCCAAGACCACAAGCTGTAGCCCTGTTCGTGGTGTGATACACCCCAAATGTATGGCACAGAGCTACCTCAAAGAGATGGCAGCTTGGAGGTGATGCCTAAATCAGCTGTCTGAAACAGAGGCTGGACAAAATTGAGAGAATAAAAAGCAGTTCTATTTATTGAAGGGCCTTCAGGTGCATTCAGGGCAGTCCCAGCCCACCCAGGGGCTGCACCCACAATGGACAATGGCTCACGGGTTTTTCACCTTTTCTCAGTTTTGTCCATTTGCACATCAGGGCTGAATCCTCCAATTACAGCTCAGCCAATGCAGTCATTCACTCCAAGTTGGCTCCCCCCAATTCTCTGTTGTTTCCATCTCTTGGGGCCTGGCACAGGGAGGTGTCCTTGAGTTTGGGCTGCAGAGGAATTGTTTTGTCTAAAGTGGGAGAGCAATAGCTTAGTATTTTATATGCAGTCCAGAGTTATCCATTAAAGAATTACAGGATTACAGGTACATGGAAATAGAGAASCTRAAATCCTAAGGGATCAGGAGCATGTGGTGAGATGTGGGTGGGGTGTGAGCAGCTGGGCCGGGAGGCAACCCCACAGCTCAGGAGTGACCTTCAAGTGACCTCCTCTACAGTGAGAGTGACCCAGGAACATGCAGGGAGAGTCCGTGGTCAGCAGCACTGGTGCTGGGTGATCCTGTGTCCACACTGCTCCCCAGGATACCCCACCCATTCCCACAAACAGCCCCTTTTCTCCAGCCCTCTCCAGTCCCCTGYTGAGCCCATCACCCCCTGTTCATCCCTGTCCCTGCCTGCAGGTGATAACACAGACTGARTCCCACCGCCAGCGGCTGCTGCAGGAAGCAGCGGCCAACCTCTGGTCCTGGGGGATCAAGGTGAAGAAAATCAAGGCCATCTACCACATCCTGAACTGCTGCAACATCGACGTCACCCAGCAGTGTGTCATTGCAGAGATCTGGTTCCCAGTGGCTGACGCTGACCGGATAAAAAGAGCTCTCCATCAAGGAATGGTAAGAGAGAAATGTTTTGGGTCCTTGGAGCTCTCACCCAAGCAGAATTGTTTATATGTTGAGCAGATGCTCAGACTTGTCTGTTACCGTAATGGGGGGCTCCCTTTTCTGTTCCAAGCTGATTGTTTGTCCTTCCCTCTTTTGAGGAAGATCAAGATCAGCATTAAATCTTAGYGGGTTTGTGACTGCCCCATGAGCCAGCAGTGGTGTTGTGGGGCTGATTCTTCTCTCCTRTCCCCTCTGACCATGCCTGTCCTCRTCTCTGGGTCTGCAGGAGCGCAGTGGCTCCACCATCGCCCCCATCCTCACGGCCATACACACCAGGATGGCACCGCCCACCTTCAACAGGACCAACAAGTTCACCGCTGGGTTTCAGAACATCGTGGATGCCTATGGTGTGGGCAACTACAGGGAGATGAACCCGGGTGAGAAACACTCAACTGCCTGCACTTGGCTTGCATGAGCCAAAGTGAAACCTCTGAGCTCCCCTACTATCCCAAAATATGGACTCACTGCTGATGGAGAAATCCAAAATATATTGGAGCTGCTTGGGGTACAGGCATGGATTTTCTCAGGCAAAGAATTTGGCTGTTGGCCTTTTGTGAGTGATTGTGGTGGAAATAACTGAACAGATACAGGATGGGGAACAAAGTGTGAGGTGGCTGTTGTGAGGAAAGGAACTAAGCTCACAAGGCAAATGTAAGTTGAGCTCACTCTGTTGAGGCAAAGAAGGCCAGAAGGACCTGATAAAAGTGTGAAACRATGGTAGAGAATCTCAGACAAACCACTGAGAATTAATAGAAGCCTGGCAATGGGGGCCTGTGGGAAAGGGTCAGATTAACTGATTGCTGAGGCTGAGCAAGTGGGGAAACATGGTAGAAAACCTCAAATTCATTATTCTGCAAGCCAGAATGCAGCTCTCTCCACATGATATTTATCATGGTGAGACAAGGAACAAAGGATAAAACTGCAAGGAAAGCACAGGTCACACACCTGAACAATCTCTGATAGTAGAGCTGGTTCTGCCCTAGATCTGACTGCCTGGTGTGTAGGGCAGGGACTGAGGAGGCCTTTGGGGGCAGTACCTGTAAGGGASAGCCTGATGGGCCAGACTGCTCCTCTGATGAGGCCTCTTTTTTAGAGGGAGCTGAGCTTCTCCTGTTTGCCTCCTGCAGCTCCCTACACCATCATCACTTTCCCCTTCTTGTTTGCGGTGATGTTTGGGGACTGTGGCCACGGTGCCGTCATGCTGGGCTTCGCGCTCTGGATGGTCATTAACGAGAAGAGCCTTCTGGCCCAGAAGAGCACTAATGAGGTGAGTGCCAGGGAGCTGCTGCACCCCATCAGCACAGGGAGAGGCTCATCAGCCCCATTTGAGAAGGGGGACATCCATCCTCCCCCTGGCTGAGTGGAGATTGTTCGAAGATACCTGTGAGGTGGAGGTTTGGCAGTTCGACCTGCTTACAAAATTTTCTGGGGATAATTGTGTGTGTACACAGATTAGTAMATGTCTGCTACTGTTTGAGGCCCACCAACTGATGGACCTGCAGGTACTTTGGTGACTGCTTTGTCCCCCTGCAGATCTGGAACACCTTCTTCAGCGGGCGCTACCTGATCCTGCTCATGGGCATCTTCTCCATGTACACCGGCTTCATCTACAAYGACTGCTTCTCCAAATCCTTCAACTTCTTCGGCTCTTCCTGGCACATCATCCCCATGTTTAAAAATAACACTTGGAAGTAAGTGCTGAATGCAGRGAAGAGGTGAAAACACACCAAATGGAGCGTGCAGGCTTGGAGAGAGAGGCTGTCTGTGTAGGGAAGGGAAGGGCTCCCTGCTGTGGATGCAGCCGTGAATGAATCAGGGGTTTATTCTGACACACACAGATGAACTCGCCATTGAAATGGAAATGCAGAGTCCCCGGGAACACGCCTGTTTGTTCAGGCACTGATGTGCATAAAAACCTGCAGGTGTCCGGGGCTGATGCATAGAGAATGATCAATGTGAGGGAGGCTGTGGCTGTGTGGGRCCCATTTCCATGCACACAAGTGCAGAATTGCCAGTCCCAGGAAGGCTGGAGTAAGAACAGACACCCTGTGGTAGTCCCCAGCACACCTCACATAAACACACCGTGGGCTCAGACAGAAAGATTAAGCTGCAAAGGTCATTTCCCTTTTCTCTCGTAGTAAGGATGTGCTTCTAGACAACACAGTGCTGCAGTTGGATCCAGCARTCCCAGGAGTCTACTCTGGAAATCCATATCCATTTGGAATAGATCCGGTAATTAAATTAAACTGCTCTAAAAGAATTTGTATTTCAATCCTGTTTCTACATATCAGATACATCAGCAGCTCCCTGCACTCTGCTGAAGCTGTGCTTTTCACTGCYTGCTCTTTGTTCCTTTTGTAGCTGTTGTGGTTTAACCCCAGCCAGCAGCCCCACACAGCCCCTCGCTCACTGCCCCACCAGTGGGATCAGGGAGAGAATTGGAAGGGTAAAAGCTGGAGAGCCCATGGGTTGAGATGAAGGCAGTTTAACAGRGAAAGCAAAAGCTGAGCACACAAGGAATTAAGTCAWCTCTTCCCACAGCAGGCAGGAGCTCAGCCATCTCCAGGAGAGCAGCGCCCCTYCACATGCATTGGCTGCTTGGGGAGACAAACATCATCATTCCAAACATCCCCCCTTTCTCCTTCTTCCCCCCACTTTATACACTGAGCATGATGTCACATGGTCTGGAATATCCCTTTGGTCAGTTTGGGTCACCTGCCCTGGCTGTGTCTCCTCCCACCCTCCCAGGCACCCCCAAGTTCCTCACCAGCCTGGCAGCACAAAAAGCAGAAAAGGCCTTGGCTCTGTGCAAGTCCTGCCCAGAAATAACAAAAACATCTCAATATTATCAACCCTGTGTTCAGCACAAATCCAAATCACAGCCCCACAGCAGCCACAAGGAGGAAAAATTACTCCAACCCAGGCAAAACCAACACATAAGGAATATTCCTTATTCCACACCATTTACATTGTGCTCAGGCCCCACACTATTCAATACAACTTCATTAACCACCACTCCCCCTCCCATTCATCAGTCCTTCTGATGCTTTTCTTTAGCAATTAGCAATTAATAGTTTGCTGACAATTCTGCAGGCAGCAGCAAAATGTAAGGAGAAGGGAAGTTCCATTTGCCTTGAGAGTGACCTTGTGCTGCAGTCTCTTTTTTGTCACCTGTCTGCTGCACTCAGTTTCCTTACTTAAGTACTTAACTCATTCCAGAGATACCTCACCAGTTTGAAGGCAAGCTTCTAATTTTCATGTAGATTATTTATTGTATGGAATATGAAATAAATGCTAGTATTAGTTAACCACATTTTCTCCTCTGTGTCCTATTTCCCTTTTCCTTGTTGTCCCGTCTTTATCAAGAATCAAAATGCAGTTTTTAACATCAAGCTTTCCTTTTTCAATCTTCATATTATTCAAGTAACCTCCATCCCTGCTGGATGTACCCGCATTCAAATTGGTCACCCAAAGAAAATCTGTTTTCCCCTGGTTTTCAGAGACCTCTTAGTCAGTTTTTTATAAATAGCTCAGGAAATCATGTCAGAAGCAGCTCAGTTTTTTGCATGTTGACCTAGACTGCTTCTTCCAACCTGGCTTTTCCCTCTCCAAGATGAAAAAATTCCTGGGTGGGAGGGAAGAATGGCTGAACAAGAGGTGGCCCCCTCTCAGGAGATTATCCATGTCATCAGCCCCAAAGGATGGATGGCTCTTTGCATTTTGCAAATCTTGGTGGGATGGCTGAGGTGTATCTTGGAAAAAACCAGTCATCCTGAGATGAAGAATCTAGGCAGTCTCTTTGGCATCCAGTGAAGAGGCAAAGYGTGTCAAAGACACAAAAGCTAATGTTTCACCCCCTAAAATAATCYTGTCTTCCTCCTTTCTCTTCAGGAGAAAAGTTTCTTTTCTTTCTGAAAAGTGGCATCTACTTACTGTCTCCGAGGGCAGAAGATTTTGGGGTGTAGGAAGTTTTAGAAGGAAGGAGAAGCAGCTCTGAATCTCTGTAGCATAAAAAAGGCAGGGCTGAGAAGTGATGCTTGTCCTAACATAACTAAAAAGTTAGTGTAGAGRGGCAGGCAATAAGCTGAGCTCAATGGCCAAAGAGTTGAAAAGTTTTTTCTGTTCAAACCAACAGTTTGTAGGCACTTTGTCCTCAGTACTCCTCTGRTGAAGGTGGAACTAATTTTGGCAGCAGCAGGAGGGATTTTCTCACRCCTTTTCCACTTTTGCTAAAGAAGATGACTCAGCCTGAGGACAGGAAATGATGCAGAAAATATTTGGRTTCTGCTACTGGCTTTTGCTTTGGTTTCTGGAGGACTGAAGCAAAKACATAGGATCATTTAAAATCCCTGTTATTTCCTTTGTTAAACCAGGCTAACACTTTATACCTTTTAGATTAATGCCTTGGCATAGTGAAAAGTATTAAAAGGAATGTCTGGATTTCCTTTGCTTGCTACACTCWTACTAGAGCTGGTAGGAATAAATTGATGGTGTCAAAATATCAATTTCCACAAACCTTTTATTGATCAAACACCTGAAAATCTTGTYCTTCTCTCTCTCCCTCCCTGCTCCTTCACCCAAAGATCTGGAACGTGGCATCGAACAAGCTGACTTTCCTGAACTCCTACAAAATGAAGATGTCGGTTGTCATAGGGATTGTGCACATGATTTTTGGTGTGATTCTCAGCCTCTTCAACCACATGTAAGTTTGTTTTACCAAGCCTGTTGCTGCAGCAGCACACACAACTCCTCATCATTAAGCTGGTATCCTTCATTCAGGGAAAGCCTCATATTTTGGATTGATGATTTGAATTTTGACTTTTCCCCAGTGTGAGCAGAAATATCCCATACACTGTCTCACACCACAGCTGATACACAGTGCTAAGTCCAAAGGACAGACACAACATTGCAGATATTTTCTTCAATAAGCTCTCTTTTTAACTCCCTTCCTTATATTCTCGATTCTGCAGAAATATTGAAGCGTGCTGAATTAAAAATATGTAGCACCTTCCACTACTGACAATCTCTTTTGACCTAAAGAGTATGTGCATGTTTATTTCACCTGGCTTAGCAGCCCTTGGCCAGGATTTGTGGGTGTGCTTGTCTGTATCTCTGCCTCTGTATTTTGCAACAACAAATTTAAAATTGTGATAGAGTGGAGGGACTGGCACTATCACATTGAGAGACTCTCCAGAGCTGCAATGTGTGTGGTGACCTTTAAGGATAGAAAGTGTTTGCAGAGGACTGAGGACCCTACAGGGTTGATACTACATCTGGGTGTGACCTTTCTGGACATATAATACTTAACTTCGTAAATGAGCCATTAAAAAAAAAAAAAAAAGGCTTTCATTTCAATGTAATAATCTTTTGAGGTGCTGAGATACTGGCAGGTCAAGTACAAAAATCTGAAGGGAACCAGTACAACAGAGCTTTTGCATTTAAACAGTGGTTGTCATTGATAAAGCCCAAAATTATGGACTTCTTTATTGGTTAGTGATAGTTGTATATTTGTTAGGTAATTTTCCATAAACTAAGTACTGCCAGACTTGGCTGCAAACTTGTATTAATATCTCATGTATTAATTGCAGTTATTTTCCCTGATTCTTTCCAGCTAYTTCAGGAAATACATAAACATTATCCTTCAGTTCATCCCAGAGATGATTTTTATTATCTCYCTCTTTGGCTATCTGGTCTTCATGATTATTTTCAAATGGTGTCATTTTGATGTCCACTCATCCCAGAGTGCACCGAGCATCCTCATCCATTTCATCAACATGTTTTTGTTCAATTAYAGTGACACTTCAAATGCTCCATTGTATCTGCACCAGGTATGGGTCAAGCAGCTCGAATTTGCAGTGGGTGTTGTAGAGAGTGGGCATGAAGATCCAGGGAACAGGCTCAGAATCTCAAATCACAAGTGTCAGTCACAGAAGTGAAGTTTATTCTTCTGGTATTTGTGTTGGCYTTGTCAGCAGAGAGGAAAGAGAAGCTATCAATCAGTGATGCAGAGGAAATCTCTTTCCTAGTGTCATCCTTGCAAGAATAATGATGCAACTGAAGATGCTGTTGGGGAAAAAAAAGTCAGAGAAGTGTGGCTAGAAATGCAAAGCTGGGTATTGCAGGCGTGCTGTCCTGCAGTCTGGTCACGATGCTAGAGACATCTCCCTTTCTTGATAAGTTCCTATTTCATCTTTGGAAAGCTTTAAYACTTTACATTTTCACCTAAAAAAATAAGTAGAGGTATCTAGAGGACTTTCTGGCAGCTTTTTGTCGGAAATATCTCCCTTTGGAGTTCACTTTAGAAAAAATAAAAAGCAAGCAAAAAAAAAAATCGCCCCTCAGAGAAAACTTGTTGTAAAGTCATTTCTATTTATATTCTCAGAACATGGATTTTTTTTTTCTTTGATTGATTTTACATCAGCAGCATCAATGAAGAATCTGCAAGCAAATACTGCATCCAGCCCTGCATGTGCACCCACATCTACACAGTTGCACACTCTTGGCACTCCAACAGGAGTTTTARGGACAGCCAGGAGTCAGAGTTAGTAGAAACCCCTAATCAAAAGTAACTGTATTAAGGATTCAGGGGAGTTTGGAAAAACACACTTTTCCCAGCATTCAAAATGTCTTTAGATAACATTGTGCTTTGTAAAAACCCAAAGCTTTCCCAAAGTGGCATTTTTTTTCTCATATTCCTATGGCTCTTCTCCACCAGTAACAGAATGTGCTGTCTGCCTGGGTAGTCTGAATAAAAATGTTGTATGAGAATAATCACAAGGTGATCAGAGATCTGAGACAGCTTTTAAAAAATGCAGAAGTTGTAGTTTAAGGTTTCTTTGTTTGTTTTGTAGTTATTTCCTGAAAGCACTGACACTGATGTCAGGACAGCAGCAGGGATGCCACACTGCAATGTAGGAATACCTTATCGTTGTGGGGACAAGGTGTAACCAAACCTAAGCTATGGGGGTTGATGTTCTTGCAAGGAGAGGAGACACAGCCAAACAGGGAATTGTCTTTGTTGTGTTTAAAAAAATATTACCATTTTATAGACTTGGATTCCTAACCAACATAAATGTAGTTGGCTAAAGGAAGTAAAGCAACCTCTTGTGCTTGTTGTTTTGTCTTTTAGAAAGAAGTGCAGAGTTTCTTGGTCATATTTGCTCTGATTGCTGTTCCCTGGATGCTTCTGATTAAACCTTTCATCCTCCGAGCCAACCACCAGAAGGCACAGCGCATGGTAAGGGATGTGGATCCGTCAGGGGTGCAGTCAAAGCTGAGGACACAGGCCCAAAAACTGTTTGCAGTGATCTAATTCTGCATTTCCCTGGTCTCAGGCTTTCTCTGGCAGTTTCAAAGCATGCTTTATGCCACACATGCCCAGGACATGTCTGAACCACCCAAACTAGAATCACAGAATGGTTACATTTGGAAGGTCTGGTCCAACCTCCCTGCWGAGACAGGGTCCCCTAGAGCTCATGATTCAGGTTTGTGTCCAGAGAATATCTCAGAGATGGAAACCTTTCCCCAGAAGTGGGAGCTTTGCAGGCAAGGACATACCCTATTTGTTGAGCTGACACCAAGCTCTTCATCTGTCATATCCAAAACCTAAGAASATTTAGAAAGATTGAAGTGCTGGTAAAGCCAAGACAGGGAAAAGACCTCTTCTGTCAGTCCACAGCCTCCACTAACCCCCAGTTCACTGCTCTGTAGGAAGGGGGTATCTGTGAAAGTCCTGGCCTTGCAGAGATCGACACAGTTTGAAGAAGAGGCTTGCTTTAGCAGCTGTTGCCTGCTTTCTGGGCAGTGCTTTCTTCCCCAAGTGATTGCCTTCACATGAACAGAGCCCTCCTTCCTGTGGGCTCTGTGGTTTGCCCACAGCTCCTCAACACAACTGTGGCAGCTGCATTTCCCGGTTGTTCATTAATACTCTCCTTTATTACACTAAAAGRACTTCCCTTGTCAGTCAAGATTTACTTCTCTGCATAGTCAGAGTTAGTGCCTSGAGTACCTTTTATAGGGCACAGATGTTTCCATTTGAAGGAAGAGATGCTGGTTTTGCTGCTTGACCTTTTCCAACCCAGTCACTTCTGACCTATAACTGAGAGCCAGGTCCCCGGGAGACCTTTGCAGTCCTGCCCCTGCACTGCAATTTCTTTATTTTGTCATTCTTCTGGGATTTGGATGAAGGCTTGACACGGCTGTCTCCATCTCCTTCTTTCATGCCAGCAACATCTGACAGGTTTTCCCCACCTCCTGTTGTGCCCCCATATTTCTGCTCCTAATTTTCCTATGTTAGCTGTCTGATCACATCCTGCATTCCCCCAGATTTATGTGTTTGCTGCAAAGGCTGTTCTCTACGCTGACATTCAGGCAAAGCAAAGATAAAGCGGGTGTGACAGTGATTACTGCTGCAATAGGAAACAATATGTTGTCAGGAGACCTTTCCCATGAAGCCTGCTGGAGGCTATAGAGGGTGACAGGGCAGAACCTGACAGAAGCCAGGAGGTCTCTGTTTGGTTCTGCTGTATAATGGAACTGCTGGGTCAGGTTGTTCAGGCCTCTAGAAAAGCCCTGTGAGGAATAATTGAGGAGAAAATGTGGTGGCCACGAGGGTTTTGTCAATTTAAAGCAAATCAAGAGCTTTGAATTGTATTTCTGCCTGCATCCAAGGAACAGTGTGACCTTCATCAAGTCACATGATCCTCTCAGTTTTCATTGCTCTTTCACTTGATGCTAATTCCCTTGATTTGCATCTTTTAATTGAGATCATCAGCTTTAATGCACCTCAGTTTTCTCAGTTGCCAAAAGTGATGGRTTTTCTCATGGTGGCAACAAAAAGAGCAATGTGAGACCAGAAACTAGAAAATAGCTGGAACCACTGAGAAAGGCTCTATGATGGAAAATATTTGGATATTATTAGCCACTGGGTGGGAATATGCTGGTTTTGGGGTCCATGATGACTGACTATTGTTGAAGTTGTGTTCATGATATATTCCTTCATGTGTTACCCATCGTGAGGTTACTGAGGGAGTTCAGTGCCATGGACTTAYGCATTTTGGTATCAACCAAACACACTACGTTTTGTTTCTGAAAGATCCATTCTCAAGCCATCTCAGGAAACCCTGGAGGTGACAATGAGGTGGATGTCCCAGAGACCAATCACTCCAAAAAAGCTTCCCAGGGAGACCACGGCGGTGGCCATGAAGGACATGAAGGGGATGAGGAAGAGGTAAGAAAATTTGGACAGAAAATTGTTCAGAATGACACAAAGTCAAGCAGAAGAYTTTTGCAGAGCTGCCAGCCCTTCTGTCTAACAAAATAACAACACACAGTGTTGCAATGGTTTGTGTTTCCAAACAGAATAGGGTTGGAATTATCACTGAATTAATTCCTCTACACTTTTCCTTTGGTTTTGCCTGGTGATGGCAGGTGTCCTTGCAAACCTCAAGCTTTTGCAAACCTCAAGCTTTTGTTTCCTCAGGGGCAGTTGTTTCACTTCCACATTGCACCCAGAGAAGATCAACCCTTTCTCAGGAGTCAGTGAATTTTCCTTCCTCTAAACTGCAAAAGAGCATTCAGAAGTTGGCAGCCAGAAGTGTTGGCTAGGGAGACAATCCTTCCTTTGGCAGATATTGTCAAGAGCTTCTACAGCAGGAAGCAACACAGTAGGAAAAAGTGACAAAAATATTTGTAGCAGTTGGGAGTATCAACAATATTGAGYGTGGATATGGCTGGCTGTTCCCAGCCAGAGGGAATCTTCACAGATTTGCTAATTCATTATGATGAGATAGACTTATTCAGTGATATCTCCCAAAATGTGCATGCCCATAGGCTGATAGGCTGAAAGCCCCTATTTTACATAAGAATTTCTGTCTCCATAAGAAATCACAAAGACTGGCAGCAATTGGACTAACATTTAAGGAGCTGAAATTGAAAGAGTGGAACATGAGTGGTTTCCCCAATATTTGGTTTTCACTGGAATTGTATTTCTCTGGAGAGGACGTATGGGAAGATCCCACAGAACTGACACTTTCCAAAGCACTTTCTTTCCCTGGGAAATCTCTTCGTGCTGCTCAGGACATAGCAAGGAGCACAAAGAGCCTTTGGTGGAGTGTTGCTCTGTTAACCAGGAAGCTCTGAAGGAAGAACTAATCAAGCATGTTCAATTTTATGTCATTTCAGTTCAATTTTGGAGACATATTCGTGCACCAGGCTATCCACACCATTGAATACTGCCTCGGCTGCATCTCCAACACCGCATCCTACCTGCGGCTCTGGGCGCTGAGCTTGGCCCATGCACGTGAGTGGTTGCCCCACTTGAAACAGTTATTTTGATTTTGTTCAGCAAACCAGAAAGAAAAGGTRTGGCTCAAGAGCTTCCTGAGTTTATCATTTTCACTGGGATTTTTCCCAGAAACACTCAGTGGAACATCACATTCCATGAGAAATGGAATGACAGCATTTCAATGTCTTTTTTCCTTGATTTGTGATAAAAACAGATGCTCAAATACTAGAAATTGCCTCAGGCTGGAGCTTAGATTTTCAATGTCACTGATTTTTCTGAAGTGTTTTTATTAATATTGCTGTGATGCCTCTGGCTAGGAGTTGCACCTGCCCTAAAGAACTGAGCACACAAAAAAAAATGAAAACAAAAAGGGGAGGAGAGGGGGCAGGCCTGTGGTGTGGTGTGATGTGCTATGGATTGAAAAGGGTGAGGTGTACTTCTTGGCACAGAARTGAGCTTAGTGGGGGTTTGAGTGGAAGCTGATGCACATTAGCTTTACATGGAGGAGAGATATTTAAGAAAAAAA